TATATAGACTGACTCTCTGCAATAAAAACTATCTAATATATTATCATGCATATTGGATTCAGCAGACATGCAAGCACACTAAAAGGCATAAAAACGCTTGGCTAAACAATCAATCCAGCAAAGAACAACAGTCAAAGGCGTCAAAAATATTATCTAACATCCTAGTCCTAGCCTAACACACTGTCTAACAAAAAATGTTCTAATCAGAATATAAGTACTTAGGGTAAATTCTCCGAGTACGTATGACATTAATGCGGTCGTCAGACCAACTCCGTCCTAAAGATCTAAGAGATCTAAAGGATGTCACCCAAAATCGATTTTAAAAGAATTGGCCTTATATAAGGCCTAGCTTGCTACTTGCATAATTTTGAAAAGTAAGATGAATATCATAAGTAGAAAGCCATTTTTTTTTGTTTTTTTTAAATAAGGTCATTAAATACAGACCCGTAACATGCAAGGTAACATGAGTTAGATCTCTTAGATCCTTAGCACAGTCATACTCACGTTGATCTCGATGTGCTAATTCGCATTGCTCGTTGCAATACACTCAACAAACAATGATTATTATAACATCGTGACCAACACAAGGGTCACTCACCTATTGAGCCTGGCTCGCTATCATGCACACACACAAATGCAAATGTAAGCAAACACACAGGAGTGGTGATGATGAGTGTGTCGATGAGCTAGTGACTCAGGAGGAGTGAGCATACCATGGAGGCATAGACTCAAGGAGTGGGTCCATCGTCATGGCATTGGCCTGAAATGTGAGCATATCGTGGAGGTATTGGCTCGAGGAGTGGGCATATCGTGGAGCCATTGACCTGAAAGGTTTGGTATGCTGAAGAGACAATGACCTAAAAAGGTGGGTTCAGAGACCGAGGAAGCATAACTCGAGGAATGGTTTTAGAGGCCAAAGAGGCAATACCCAAAAGATGGTTGGGTATGTCAAGGAGGCAGTGAACCGAGAGAAGGGTTCAGAGGCCAATGAGGCGTGAATCGAAAGATGGTCGAGTATGTCAAGGAGGCAAACACTTAAGAGAAGGGTTTAGAGGTTGAAGAGGCATGACCCGAATGATGAGTTCAAAGGCTGTGATGGCGTGATCCGAAAGGTGGTCAGGCATGCCGAGGAGGTAGTGACCTGAGAGATAGGCTTAGAGGCTGGTGAGGCGTGACCTGAAAGGATAGGCGCAGAGGCCGAGGAGGCATGATCCAAGGTATGCGTTCAGACTTTGGAGGCATGACCCGAAAGGTGTGTTGATTCCCACGAAAGGAGATCATAC